GTCCGATGACGTTGGTAAAGTAGATGCCGGCCGTGGGTCCCATTGGTCGAGATACGCAGATACCTCTCTTGGTACCCAAGGTTCCTCATTCCAAGAAGGCGCCGGTGTCGGGACCCAATCGATCCTCTGCTGTTGCCGCGTCCAGCTCATCGGAGGGCTCTGGTAAAGTAGAGCTCTCCTCCTGGGCTGGTGCTGCTGCTTGTTCTTGTAAAGCACTGCGCCAAAAATCAAGCCGCTGTTCACGAGAGTAACCTCCTCGTCCGGCAAAGGATTCGGAGGCGTCCCAAAGCTGCCAGGGAGTGAGATCCGCGAAGTTCACCGGGAAATTGTCACCCTCGGACATGATGCAAAGAAAAGAAAAAGGCTGCGAAGGGACGTACGCAAAGTCTCGGGCAAAGCTCTGCAATCAGACATGAAGCTTCACATGTGGACATGTAACCAAACTGATGCAAAGCCGCATGCAGAGGCGCGTACTTCACGAGCACGACGTATCACGCAAAGTTGACGCAGACTTGGGCCCGAACGCGGCCGAATTTGAATCGAATTTGACGCGAATTTGAGCGGAATTTGCGGCGCGTATGTTCCGAATTTGACCGGAATTTGAAGTGACGCGCGCCGAAAGTATTTCTCGACGCGAAGCTGCATTTGGCGCACATTACCTGGACATGCTTTTGACGATATTATATCGTCAGACCTGGGTTGCCTGGACTCTGACGATATTTTTCTGATCCCGACGATATTTCAAATACAAGTAACATCCCGACGATATTTTGACGTATTTATGGATCCCGACGATATTTCCGGAGTCCCGACGATATTTCCCGAGTCCCGACGATATTTCCGGAGCCCCGACGATATTTCCCGAGTCCCGACGATATTTCCGGAGTCCCGGCGATATTTGCCAGAGTCCTGACGATATTTTCCCGACCCCCGACGATATTTCCAGAGCCCGACGATATTTACCCGAGTCCCGACGATAGTTCAGGGTTTGAAATGACGACCTTAGTGGACGCGGTGTTTTGACGATGTTAGTGCTGTACTTGCATGGCTGCGTTCGCATCCACAGCAGACAAAGCAAGCGCAACCAAGCAAGCAACCAAGCCAGCAACTCATGAATCCCAATGAAGTGCGACACGATCAAGTGTTTCAAGGTACATTCAACACTTCCCTGAGCAATTGGAGCAACCTACCAACCAAACAAGCAACCAAGCAAGCAACCGATGAATCCCAGTGCGATACGCTCAAGTGTTTCAAGGCAAGAACAACAATTCCATGAGCAACTGGAGCAACCACGCAGTCGATCAATCAAGCACATCAATGCACATCAATTCCCAACTCACCGACCGACGAATCCCAAGCAAGGGCGACAACACCCTCAAGGTACACAGCAAAGCAACTGGAACAACCATGCCACCAGCATTCCAAGGCAACGTCGATGCGAATTCCAAGCATGCACAACCGACCGACTGACCGACCGACCAACTAAGCACAAGCACCCAAGCATTCCAAGGCAACGTCGATGCGAATTCCAAGCATGCACAACCGACCGACTGCAGACCGACCGACCAACTAAGTCACGCCAAGCACAAGCACCCATCTGACTTCGATATGTTTGCCGGCATGCAGCGTGTGCCCTACGGGATGGATTCAACTGCAATTTGCTTTCGAGCTTCGGTGTCTTAGGGGAAACCTGAACGGGTTTTACGTTGGTAGCGGAGCATGGCTGGTAGTGGAGCATGGTCTTTTGTTGACGCTTGTAACTTAATCGCCATGGCGGCGGGAATATGCTGCAACCGAGATTTAGGGCTTCCAATTCATAAAGGGTTTAGAAATCATGCTGGTTTGGCAAGAATCGTCAGCACCGGGGTCGGTCTGTGACGTAGTAGCTTTGCGTTTTGGGCATTATTGTTTTGTGGTGCTCTGGTGGGTTTTAGTTGGAAGGTCGAGCAGCTGCATGCTAGACTCTTATATCACTTTTTTGGACCGTATACGTCCTGGAATCCAGGACATTTTGTTTTTATGTCTCTCGAGTGTTGACTTTAAACCAGGGGACTGTGATCACTCGTAGCACTTTTTATCTCATCATGCGGGACCATTGAAAGCTCTTCAATGTGATGTAGCGACGAGCCCAAGATACCAGTTGCACCGCCGCATGGCATCCAGCAGCCACACTCCTTAGGTGATTGACTGAACAGCTGCATGCCCAAAAAGGGTTCGAACTACAACAAATAAGTTCAGACAGGGACAGACAAGAGTGATCAGTAAACAGCCAATTTTCTTCATATACTTCATATAGTCTTCGTCACCAAAGTTGGAACAGTGCATAAAGTTCAGCTTTGTTTGCGCGACTTCTGCGATCATGTGAGATGCATAGTGGTGCTTTGGTCTCATCTTGTAAAGTAATTGAGACAGTCCATATGCACGGGCAGCTGCGTATTGGTACAAGAGCAGGAAGGTTTCGAAAAGCCACACGGATTCTTCTGTTTCTCCATCGGTCATGTGGGGCTTGTGGGCGGTCCCAGCCACAGACAAGGCAGCATCGAGAGACCACAGCATACAGGCACGGGCCCTTCTCCAATGAGCTGTCTCGGAACTGCAATCGTCCGGGTCGAGCTGTTTCTCGAGCTCCACGGCGAAGTGGGTGACGAAGGCTAAAAGATTCCTGCATCTCGATGCTTTGATCGTGGAGCTCAATTCAGGATATTTCAGCGTCGCATTCAGCGAGTCCATTGTGATCGGATTTATTCCAAGATCCAATCGTCTTTCCTTGCACCACACTTGAGCTCTGGATGTGAACCGGTACAGAATCTCATTCGGCTTTGGCGACTGGTCCTGCAAATCCAAAAACCTGGACATCTCACCTCACGGGCTGGCGGAGCTATATATCTCTACGGAGCTACAGCTACACAGAGTCCTGAGCGAGATAATGACACAAAAAACATCAAGCTCCTGCTCTTGTTGCCTCCCGGAGACCGTTCCGCAAAGTTTCCAACATGACAGAAGCCAGGAGGTCGCGGAGCACGCCCAGATGTACCAGATGCATGACTGCAGGGGCAGGTTGAAGTTGAAAGGCATGTTTTGTGCATAATATGATGACTTATAATGATGGAGAAACAATTATGTGCTTCGGCTCTGCCATATATCATATGCAGACAGGCCGCCGTCGTACAGCCGTCTGCGACGGGTGTAGCCCTCGACTTGCTTCCAAGGAGAAACATCGTTGGCGTGCGGAGCTGGGCGGGTGTGCTCCTCGGTTTGACGCCAGCCAGCTGTAGCACTCAAGTCGCCAGAGTTGAGGATGACGTCGCTGTTGCAAGCCAGACACCAGTCGCATATATACTTGCGAGTGTAGTTGCGACAGAGTTCATGGCTCTTCATGTGGGCTTCCTGGTCCCCTTTCCAGAATGCGAAGACGGCCTTGACCGGACAGCGTTTCCCAGCTCGCCGCTGCCTGTTTCTGAATTGCAGGCTTATCTAGCTCCATGGATATTTCTGTAAACCCCGAAACCATTAATCTGGACAAGGATACAGTACCCCTGCCTTGTGGACATCTTTGGCCACTCGTTGCCGTCCCAGTCGTGCATTGGAAAATATCCTTCTTTCAGTGACTTGAGGTCCCACGATATTATCCTGGCAATAAAAGTACGAGTTTGCTTCGCAATCCGAGATTGCGGAACACCAATGATGCAGAACCTGCTGATCTCGGACCTTTGGTTGGTCAAGGCTGAACACCACGACCAAAATACCACAGTCTCTCGCTTCGTGGTTGGCACACCGTCTTCATGAAAAAGCAGCGGATAAGGATAATCTGAGTGGTCGATCAGGCCCTTGTAGACAGGATCGATCTCGCGGTCCCACCATTCTCGCACAGATCCAAAGCCTTCAAGGCAGGAGGAAAGGAGCCCGCGCTTGCTCAACTCCGCCAAGACATCAGAAGGCAACACGATCGAAGCAGGTGTTGTTACCAACCTCAGAAGCAAATGAAACGGTGCCGTGTTGGACATGGTGAAGGTCGTCGGCAGGCGCAGCTTATAAAAGAACAGTGTAACATACCAACCAAATGCTTCGGACACGGGTCTGCTTGTCTTCCCTCTCTGCTGTCGTGCTGAACACAGGAAGTTGCACCTTGACGGGGTCGAAAGGGAGCCTCATCCATTTGTAGGCATCCCGTTCTTGTGCAGAGGACGCCATCTGCAGGAGGTCCCGTCTCTTCACACCGTCGTTGGCAAAGGCTTTCGCCAGTTTTTGGCTCTTAGAGTAGCTCATTGCCTTAGATACCATGGGTCGGAAAATGTGCAACGTTGCTTGATTATACGGCTTGTTCATCCTCACGGACAAGTAAGTAATATTCTCACCTGCAATTCCTGGCTGCTCCTTTGCCCACCTCTTCGGCGAGCATGCGAGCTCCATGAGATTGGAAATCGTCTGTAGATCTGCGGAAGCAGGTCAAGTTAGAGCATGCTACATCAGCACATGAAGTAACAAACGTGGCAGAATCACATCTTCACTCGACGCTTGCCCTCGCAGATCGTTTCGTCCATCCCCGCATTGTCGTACCTGCCAATCAAAAAATGCTCCATTCTGGTAGCAGCAGAGGGACAAAGCTTGGAAGAGGATCCTGATGCAGCATGTTTTTTTGCAGCTCGCCGCTGTGGTTCCGTACAATATACCTGTATAGGCTGCTGGTTCATCCAGCGCCTTGTGCGTATGTGCATGTTCACTGCAGTCGCAGTGATCGTGAGCACGATTGCACATGCTTTCAGATGTGCCCCAAAAGCACGTGCAGGTCTTGGCCCAGTACTTCCATCCGGAGCACACACAGACATATATATATATATATGTATATACGCCAAATACAGTACGTTACTGTCATAGACTCTGCACGTGCAACTAGCATAACCCTTGGAAAGAGGAGACCTCCTCCCCTATATGTAGCTGCACCGGCAGAGATCTCAATCCTGATCTGCACGTGCAGAACCCTGCACTATGATCCATTGGATCTACTGCTTGTCTTTCCTCTTTCTGCTAGCCTTGGCTTTGGGTTCCTTGGTCGGGCCCAAGGCTAAGTTGGCAGCTTTGATCAGTGAGGCGGCCGTCTTGATGGTTCGATCGGACTCCTGTTCAATGGAGCAAGCAAAGAGATGGTACTACGTATAGGTCATGCAAGAACACAATCTTAACGGACCGTGACCTGCTTCAGCACAAGGAACTCGCGGCCCAAAGGGAGGTAGAGCTGCTCGTCCTCAACCTGTTTCTTCATCAGGTCGCTGACCTGGTCCCACACATTCCTGGGAAAGCATATGGGAATTCAAGTCATGGGAGATGTCAGTTTGCATTGTCGATTTGGCTGCAAACAAGGGGGCTGGAACTTCTGCTCATAAGCCGTCAGCTCCTCCAAACATTTCGCAGCGTAGACGTTGCCCTTGAGCTGAGTAATCATCTTGTGTGTCTCAGTCACCTTGGCCATGACCTTGTTGCGGAGGTCTGCAGCTTTCTCATGGGTTGTCAGGGGCTCCATTCGCTGCGGTTTCCCTTTTCCAGGTTTGGGTGCTTTGCCCTCGTCACTCAGTGACGGAGTAGGATTCGAAGCCGGAGTTCCAGGCGGAGTTCTGGCCGGCGTCGATGGGGCAGAGCCACTGCCGATCGATGGCCTTGCTTGGCCACTCTTGGCCAGGGCTGACCTTGCGAGGAGAGCATTATAATAAGGAACTTGTTGCAGACACATTACAAAGATGTGGAGTTGACTAATTTAGAAGAGAAGGTGCTGCACATTTGCCAGATACTCTCGAGCTGTTGGATCCGCTGTGTCCAAAGCACCGCCCGAGGAAGTTGTCTGACCTCCATTTTTAATTCGAGTTCTACCACGTGAGTGCAAGCATGACACTTCCACGTACACAAATGCAGCAGTGGCACGGTCCAGGGAGTTCGTCTCGACTTCCCTGGCTGGATCTTACAATATTGGGACAGAAAAGCAAAAAAAGATACACATACACGAGGCCCTTGGACCGTCCTCGTCGACAAAGAGTGCAGATACAGCTTGGCACCCGTGAGGTTCGGATCGTCTTGAACCAAGCCCTGCTCCTGCTTTTCCCGCATGACTCTTGGAGCGTCCGAGCCGTACATCTTCTCCAGCTGGATGGCCGTAAGAGGCGTCAGTTTGGCTCTCTCTTTGCGGGCCTTCTCCTGCACACTCTCGATATGGTAGTGGGCGGCCACCTGCTCGAGGGAGCCGGCTGATTGCACCAAGGCGTCGATCAAGGCCGACTTCTGATCGTCGTCTTGCACGGCAGCAGTCAGAGCCGGCGGCAAGGACAGCAGCCGAGCCGGGTTGTTCGAGAGTCTCTTCAGGAGGTTAGCAGCTGCACGGCGAGTGTAGCCAGAGCCAGAATCGTGCTCCATCGACTCTGCAACCTGCTGTTGCACTTTTGCGGCGGGCAGCTCAACTTCTGCAGGAGCAGACAGCTGTTCACCGTTGGCTTTGGCCGGCACTGTTGACACCTGCGTGGGCGGCTTCTCCTTTTCGGCATGCACCTTCCAGCCGAGCTCTTCCAAGGCCTTGTCGGCCTTGTCCATGGATTGCCTGGCAACTGAGTCCAAGATGGACTTCTCTTTGCCAGCTTTCAGAGCCTGGAGTTGCTCTTCAAGCATCCTAATCTCGCTGTTTTTTTGGTCAGCGTCTCCCGGATTCGGGGCCGTGGGCTCAAGCATCCTAATCTCGCTGCCTTTTTGGTCAGCGGCTCCCGGATTCGGGGCCGTGGGCTGGGGAACTGTCCCTTGTGGCTTCGGGTGGCCGGCGTTGAAAGGTTCCGTACGTGCTGGCAGGGAAGTTTCAGGAAGGCCGTCCTCGGGCAGCTGCTCGGCCTTTCTCTTCTTGGCTTGCTCAAGCATTGCCAAGAGCTTCTTTCTTTTCTCCGCTTTGAATTCTTGGACCTGCGTGGCAGTACGGAGTTGATCTCCAACACTGCAAACATGATAGAAGGAAGAGGTTCGGCCTCGTGATCTGTCCAGCCCTTAAGGGGATTGCCCGCCGCATTGGTGTTCTCAGCCTGGTTTTATATAGAGTGCTTCTAGGCACAACCGCAGCGGAACGAAAACTCTTGGTCTGTTGAGGAAGCTCGACCTGGGAATGTGTGGAGAAGGACATGGCTGCGACTGTATGGCTACAAATTAAACTCGTCTCGGCACCTCCTTCCTCTTCTCCTCCTCCTCACATTTCCTTTCCGCTGCAATCCGCTCTTGAAGCTCGGCCTGCGTGGAGAATTGCAGGCAAAGCTAGTCCAGCCGATGCCAATGGATTGGTTCCAGAGCTGAAGCAAGGTTTGGGGCTATCGCCAAGCACAGCCAACCAACCGACAGCAAAGAAGGTCTAACAAGCACCCCCGACGAAACCACCGACACCTGGACAAGCTGAATAGCCTGCATATAGAAACGTAGTTAATTTGGAAACAAGAAGAGGACCTGCTTTGTCTTCTCCTCCTCGGCCTTGGCTCTTGCGAGCTGTTCTTTGAGCTCGGCCTGGTGGACATGGGTGCGACAACATCGATCAGCACATACTGTTGCAGTCCCGAGTACATTATAGATTTTCTTGCTTTGCACCTCCTTTCTCTTCTCCTCCTCCTCCTGGCGTTTCCTTTCCGCGCAATCTCCTGTAGAAGCTTCTCTTTCAGCTGCGCCTGGACATGTGTAAACTACCGAGGCCTCTAGCTGCTGTGATTTGGACTGTTCAGTACATCGACATATTGATGTCTTTGGTTTCGGCACCTCCTTCCTCTTCTCCTCCTCCAGGCGGTTCCTTTCCGCGGCCGCCTCCTGAAGTTTCTTCTCCTCCTCGGCCAGGGCTCTTGCACGCTGCTCTTTGAGCTCGGCCTGGACACGGGTGCGACAACACCGATCAGCACATACGCTACTGTGAAGTGCAGTCCCAATTAAGTACATTATTACAGGTTTTCGTGATTCGCACCTCCTTCCTCTTCTCCTCCTCCTCCTGGCGTTTCCTTTCTGCAGCAATCTCCTGTAGAAGCTTCTCTTTCAGCTGTGCCTGGACATGTGTAAACTACCGAGGCCTCTGCTGTGATTTGGACTGTTCAGTACATCGACATATTGATGTTTTTGGTTTCGGGACCTCCTTCCTTTCCTCGGCCATCTCCTGAAGCTTCTTCTCCTCCTCGGCCTTGGCTCTTGCAAGCTGTTCTTTCAGCTCGACCTGCACATGGGTGCGACAAGATTGATCACCACATACTGTATCGTGCATTGCTGTCCACTTTTCCTGATTTGCGCCTCCTTCCTCTTCTCCTCCTGCAGACGGTTCCTTTCCTCGGCCATCTCCTGAAGCTTCTTCTCCTCCTCAGCCATGGCTCTTGCACGCTGTTCTTTCAGCTCGGCCTGGACACGGGTGTGATAACATCGATGAGCGCACATACTCTATTCTGAAAGGCAGTCCCGAGTACATTACTTATATTTTCTTGTTGTGCACCTCCTTTCTCTTCTCATCCTCCTCGTGTTTCCTTTCCGCAGCCATCTCCTCTTGAAGCTTCTTTTCTTCCTCGGCCTTGGTTCGTGCAAGCTTCTCTTTCAGCTCGGCCTGGACACGGGTGTGATAACATCGATGAGCACATACTCTATTCTGAAAGGCAGTCCCGAGTACATTACTTATTTTCTTGTTGTGCACCTCCTTCCTCTTTTCATCCTCCTCGTGTTTCCTTTCCGCAGCCATCTGTTCTTGAAGTTTCTTTTCCTCCTCGGCCTTCGTTTTTGCAAGCTCATGTTTCAATTCGGTCTGGGCACAGAGGCAACAACACAGGCACATACGTGAATTGGGCGGACAGGCACGAGCTCCTCCCTCTTCTGCTGCTCCAGCTTGTTCGTTTGTTCTTCTTGAAGCTGGGCCTGCGTCGAGAGCACAACGAAGCGGAGCAGCATGCACACAAACAGCAAGCATCCTGACTTGGAAGCAGGACGACGGCCTGCTTTGTTGGCTCGGCCTTTGCTCTTGCGAGCTCTTCTTGCGATCGCCAACTTCTAACTGCTTCTTCCAACCCCTGATAGACTGCCTCCCTGAAGTCATCCGGGTTCAGTGTCTCGGCCTCTGACACAGGCAGCTGCAGGTTGATCAGGCGGAGACACATTGAACAACATGCACATGGAGGTTATCTTCAACTTTTCTTGCCTCGCATTCTTTCGACTGCAAGCCCTTCTTCTGGGCTTCCAGCTCTTCCAGCAGCAAGGGCACCTCCCCGGTCATTTCCTGGGATCTAATTTGACAGTGCATCCAGGAAACTATCTACATGAGATGAAAGAGTGCAGGTCCTGATTAGTCAGCTGGTCGATCTCTGCTTCCAGGGCCTTTGGGCAGACCCCAAAGTGGACAGGATGCATGGGTTCTAACAGATGTGCATATCTTATTCACGAATCTGGCGAATAAGCGTAAGGCCTTGATCAAGTCATCGTCGCTGGGAAAGTCGGAACCGCAGGTTCCCGGAGTCAACTGAGTGTCCTGAAGCTGAGTTTCCGGAAGCCGGCCAGCTTCGCCCGGCGCCACATTGCCATCAGCCAGTCCGGCGGTGCATGCCGAAGCCAGCGTGCGTCCGAACTGCCGCGGATTTGTTGCTCCTTTGTCCTCACGGAGCAAGCCTTCCAAGAGTTCAATCTTCACATCTGCCATGACAGCTCTAGAAAGAGGCACGTGGCAGTGCAGGGCTACACTTAAGCCTTTGCTGCAACGGTTCAGAGTGCAATCGTTGCATATGCATCGGATTCATGTCGGTGCCATGGTGGCATTGAGGTGGCGGTGGGGCTTCCTATACGGCTCTCGGTGGGGCTTGGCTCTCGGTGGGGCTTCCTATACGGCTCTCGGTGGGGCTTGCTTGGCTCTCGGTGGGGCTTGTTTGGCTCTCGGTGGGGCTTCCTATACGGCTCTCGGTGGGCGGTGGCGGTGGCGGCGGCCATAATTGGTATGAGGTCGCGGGTGGTGGTCCGTCCTCAGCCACGGCCGGTCACGGCCGGTCACGGGTGGTCACGGGTTGGTCACGGGTACTGTCCTCCTGGCGCTATATGTATTTAGTCCAGGTCACGGGTCTGACGATATTTCCAGGTCACGGGCGGTCACGGGTTGGTCACGGGTGCTCCGGGTTGGTGACGGGGTGGTCCCGTGTCAGTGAAGGGTGTCTTCCGGCCGGCATGGCCTACATATGTCACATATTAGACATCCTGACAAGGTCGGGTCGGGTTGTTGTACCTAGGAGTTTGGTCCTGGATTCCAGGACAGTTTACACTATAGAAATTTGAGTCCTGGATTCCAGGACAGTTTTCCTATTGGCCAATTAATTATAAGGGAGCTGACTGTTTGGTTGGGTTCATGTATATATATATATATAGATGGACGATGGATACAGGGGGAGCACCTCCACCAATAGCCAAGGGAGCAACTCCACCCGAGGCCATGCAGTAGATTGGGAGGTTTAGGGTTATCGACAAGCACAGCGGACCAACCGACGACAACTGCGCAAGACAGCAACGGAGCAATGCGGTAATTGGTTTTCTCCTTTAGCATCCTGAGTGCCTGGATCACTGTCGCTTCCAAAGACCCTTTCTCAGCCAGCACAGAGTGGAACCAATTCCCATGAAATCGCGATCGTTGGCCCGGGCGTAGTCCAGCAGCGATGCCTAGGATTTTTTTCACTAAGTAAACATTGCAGAGAGGTCATGTGGCTCCACTGAGCGGCATGAAGATCCGCCATGGATTTGTCTCCACTGGCCCGGAGACCCCTCATTTTGCGTTCCATCCTGCGTGTATCACATGCATGACAAAAAAGTGAAGAGGCCCCCCACATGTTTTGCGGATGCCTTGGGAGTTCACGTACCTAGGTGCAGGAGAAGATAGAATCAACTGCATTCAAAGTGGGAAGCCAGCTTTACTGGAATCCTGGAAGTAGTGTATGGTGGTTCGATACTTGCACAGCTCAGGACAAGCAGCTTTTGCATGACAGGACCGTACTTGTTGCAGGAGCGAGCTTCGGAGCCGGGAGCACTGGAAGTCTCGAAGGCATCGGACATGTCTTCGTTCGAGTAAATCCAAATTGGTTTCAAACTGTGAGCCGCAAAGGTTGCCAAGGAAACGCTATGCCTGAGAAGTTGAGCTTTGACATGGCCTTCTTGCTCCCTGGCAATGAACCACTTCATGAGATATTGAAGGTCCCAGTGAACCTCCAGTTTGGAGTTGAAAGGATTCTCCAGCGAGAAGACTCCTCCCCGGGCCCAGTGCAGCAAAAGGATGGCCGCTGTGATGCTGGCCAAGGCAGACCCCTGTTGAACATAGGGATATTGAGAATTTCCTTGTGGGAAAAAGGCGCTGCGGCGATGAGTTCCGGAATTCGGCCAGCAGAAGGACGTGCAGACAGTGCCACAATGCACCAAGGATCCTGGTTCCATGAGCAGCACTGTCATGAAGGCGAGCACCACGCCTGGAGGCGAGAGAAGGTCGTGCATCAAGGAGCCTTAGGAGCGGCATTACACAGGACATGCAATTATACATGGCTATGCAGAGGAAGTCGTGCAACCCGAGAATCGTTCAACATCAATGGCTTTGGCATTGTAGCCTCCCCGTCTCCATGCCCCAGCGAGCACAGCAACTCCTGCAAAGAACTCCGTCATTTGCAGATGCCCTGTGGGCAAGTCCTGCAACATCAGGTAGCGGGAAAAGTTGCATATGTGAAAAAAAGGTTGACAGACACATTGGCATTCCAGGGTTATAAGCCTCGCAAAGATATAGGCAGCCTTCCAGCTGGACCACGAAGCACATCATTACCATCTCAACCAAAACCTGGATGAAATCTGTGGAGAGGCCGGTGCAGAAAGAGGAGAGAAGAATCGGAGAGAAGAGGCGTTTTTTTTGCATCCGCGAAGCCCAAGGAACTCCCAAGGACACCAGACCA